CAAATGGGGGCCTCGAGGCAGTGCGCACCGCACTTCCTGCATATGAAGTGCGGACCAGCAGATTGGACAATCTTGCACTCGTATTCGAAACACTCGAGCGCACGCACCTGCGCCATACCCTCAAAAGTGATACTCAAGGCCTCAAGCGCCCGCTGACCAGCACTGCTTCGCGCCCTCAGTGAGAAGCTTCCGTGCCGTTAAGCACGCACACACGAGGGACACAAGAACAGCGAGGTGGGCTGGCACTTCATGCCCAGCTGGCTCGCTGGCGGCAGGGCAGCCTTAGCCGAACAGTGGCACCACGTGCAACGAATCCCCCCACTCTCCACCTCGCCCAAGGTCTTGAGAAAGCACAGCGAAGTGGGGCGAAACCAATTCCTTGTGCCTGGGAGCCTGGCTGGATCCTCCGGCCTGGCTCGCCACGAGCTGTGCAGCGTTAGATCTGACATCGCAGGTGTGATCGATTTCCTCAAGCTGATCACGCAAAACCGTGGCGACACCTTCTGAAACCTGGCGACTGCTGGCTCCGAGCTTCGCGAAAACGTTGTCCCAAGAGATGCCCTGGAAGTCCAGGTTCCTGGAAGGATCCTGGCTCGAGATACCCAGGCTTCCGAGCACAAAGTCGAGGTCTCCGACCGCGGGGGACCACCTGACGCCTAGAAGAGGGGCGCCGACCGACGTCGGATACATCCTGATGCAAGCGCTGGAGTGGCGAGGGGGCCCCTCAGCCGGCATGGGGCACCGCGACTTGCCCTCCTCCACGGCGGACAACTGACCGCTATAAGAGTCTCGACCCCCTGGGGCCCGACCTTCAAAATTCCAGGATGGCCCGTCGCTCGGCCCCGGGCACCGTCTGGCACCTGCCCGCCAGGGGCCCAATCATGACGCGGATGGGCCAATCCGAAAGGGAGGTGTCAACTGCTGACCGCCCGCAGCAGGTCGCTTTGGGAACTCCGTCGGCCATGCCTGATCCCTCAGTGGGGAGACGGTTCCCCCATTGGCGGCAGACCGCTCCCGATGAGGAAGTATCTTAAAGCGGGGAAGAGGAACCCCTGCCCCAACTCCATAGCTTCGAAGTCGGGAGCAATACCACGAACCCTATCCTTCAGCCGGCTTGCGTGCTCAAGGCAGTCGTAGGGGGCAGCGTGCCACTCGTCAAGCTCCTCTGGCCTCCCCAAGATCTTAACGCATCCGTGCCACTGGTAGCCTGGAACACTCTCAGCCCATTACAACACCATCGCAGCTTGCTGTCGGCATATCCGCGATGGCGCTTGCGCGCGGGTGCCCGAAATCTGCCTCCGACGAAAACTCTGGCAGTACTTTGGCGAACCGAATTCGTGACCGAAGCGACCCCAATTCTCAAGACACTCCCCCAGATGGGTCTCTTACATCGCGCGGGCACGTGATTAAACGGGAAATAGCACCACGATGGTCCGACCTCAGCCAGCGGCGGGAGACCAGCTCCCATCCAACCCTCAGCCAAGACAAGCACGCTGCACCCACGGGCTCTTTTGCCCCGCTCCAGCCAGGCTGCTCTCGAAGAACGTCTCTGGCCTGACTCCGCTCAGGTCGTAGCGAGGCGACGGGGCGATGGGCCCCCCTGGCCCCTCCGCAGAAATTTTCGCGGACCCGGGATCTCCGAGCGGTTTCCTTGCTGGCTGCCTTGCTGACCAGCTCTGCCTGGCCCCCTCGGGCCCGCCCCGCAAAAGATCCCGACCAAGCCTGACCAATAAATCTGGGCCGCCCAACATTGCCGCGCCAGCGCGAGAAGATTGGTGGCTGGATCGCCTGGGCGCTCGAACGCCCAGCTATGCTTCCTGGTCCGCTGCAAGAAGCTACTGACATTGTGAAGCACTTTGGCCTCTGCGTAGCCCCCCCCCTGGTGACTCCTCCGACTCCTCGTCCAAGTTGGGCACGCGCAGCGCGAGCGCAATATCGGCGCTACGAAGGTGGCGAGAGCCCACCTCGCAGCTGCGCTCCACGCCGCGCACTTGATTGCGCTCGCCATGTAATTGCCTACCTGGTGCACGTTGCACGCGCGCGAGCTCCGACGGCGCCTGCAGGACACCTCCTGCCGACCCCGCCCACGACACTATGATGGAAGGGTCCATGTTGAAGCTCGCTCCGATGATCCACGTAGCCACAAGCCTATGCCCGATTAGCATATCTCGCCATCTCTGTCAGCGCCTCTACGTTCATGGGTCCCATGACCTCATTCACGTGAAGGTGCGCTGAAATTGCAACAAACTCTCCTCTGAACAAAGCGCGCGCGCGTGCTGCAACAGCTCCGCCTGGAAGCATACTGCCACCCGCACCTGCAAGCATGGGGCCTGTGCTCAACTGAACGCGCATGGAGGCCAGAACGGCTACGTCACCACTCGTGCCATTTCCCAATCCCGTCTCTTGAGCTGCCTCCCGGATGTCATGCGCGACTGCAGCTCCCATCCTGTTCTAGAACGAGGCTAGCCTCGCGCGGGACGCATGATGGTCCTGCAAACATCAGACTTCAGGTGCATCTGACTCGATCATCTCAGCCAGCGGCCCAAAATAAGTAAAACTCCGAGATGCAGTACTGGTCAATGCCAAAACCCAAGCCAATCCTACACGCACGAAAAACTGCGACATGTTACGTTTGAAGCGGTCCCGCCTTGTGCCGTTTCGCCGCAAAGGGTCGGATCTTGCCGCCTGCTCGCTTGACCACGCCTCGCAGATCCTCTTCGTCTCCTCGGACCTGCTGGTCGGCCGATTCCAAGAAGGCTCGCGACATGTCGGGATCCTCCCTCGCCGCGCTGGGGATCCATGATGTTGGTCGCTGGGGGTGCGGCTCTGGTGCCGCCTGGGTTGACCTGGCAGCTGCGCTCGCAGCCGCCGCTGTCGCAGCCTCTGCCGCCGCGGCAGCCGCTTCACCTCCTCGGTCGCCTTAGCCTCCGTCAGGCAGCCTTGGAGCCGCTGGGCCAGGTCGCTGCTGCCACCGAAGCTCTGGGGTTCCCTCACCCAACCTTTCTGCGCTAAGGCTACTGGTGATGATCTGCTGCAAGGCTGGCCTGGCTCCTTCCTCGGGCTTGGGGGCATCTGCGGCAAAGTTCCGTCTCTCGTCTCGAGGTAAACCATATGTCGCTGGATGTTTCGCCACTGGCTGAGAATCTGCGATCTTGGGCTGCCAATCCGCACACATCTGCTCCTGCTTCTCGCGTTTCTTGTTCAGCTCTGCGTGCTGGAATGACATATCCTTGAACCGCGTGTCCAGACTCTTTCCCTCGGCAAGCTGTTGTCTAAGGCGGGTCTGCTTTGCGCGCAACGTCTCTTCCAACATCTTGATTGTTTCCTCATGCACGGCTTGGGTGGTGGCCAGCTGAACTGCCACCCCTAGCAAGTGAAACCTGGCTCCACTGTCCTGCCCGCCAGTCGCCGTCGCACCGCCATCCGCCTCTACGGCCAAAGCGTCTGCCCCTTGCCCTGAGGACGCACGAGACTGCTGATTTTAAAAGGGCGCGAGCTCGGCCCGTAGCTTCTTGACCTACACCACGCGAAATGGTTAAGAACTCATGGGTTAAGAAATTCATGGTCTCAGAACTCGAATAAAAAACCACAATTTCTTTCCAAATCTTAGGATTTACATTGAAACATTAAGAATAATCGATACTCTGGCCGAAAACTTGAGTTTTCTTAAGCATCGCCTAAGGTGTAATCCTCGAGCATGGACTCCGACGCCTGGCCACGCTTGTGAGCGCCCAGGCTGGAAGCACTCGTGTCTCCTTGCCTGCGAGGGCCGAGCAGCTTCTGGGCTGTCGGCAGAAAGGAGCAGTGGTGGAGGCCCGCACCAAACAAACACGCGTCCCCTGTACACCCTGCGAAATGCTTTAGAAATCATGGGTCAAGAAATTCATACCCTCAGAATTTGAAAAAAAAATGTCTATTCAAATCTTAGGATTTACATTGAAACATTAAGAATAATCGAGACTCTGGCCGAAAACTTAGGTTTTCTTAAGCATCGCCTAAGGTGTACTGTGAGACCAGCAGTGCTTGCAATACCATGGTTGCGCCCACGCCACCCTCCTCCTTTTGTATCCCCCAGTTCCTCCTTTTGTCTCCACTCGGGGGATTGACCATGGGCCTGCCGTACAATGAGCCTGGGAAACGCAGCCTCGGGAAAGCACACGGAAACCGCCACACAGTACCGACGCAGAAAATAGTGAGGCCGCTCCTTCCCAATACAGCAACTCTAGCTACCCAAGCCTCCCACTATGGGCCTTGAGCCAAAATGGCTACGGACCATGTTTGTCAAAAGCCCGGGAGGGACAGAAGGGGGGGAAGCAGGGAGAGGGGGGGGGGCTGAGGAGGATGAAAAGGGGATCGGGAAGGGGCGAGGGGGGGAAGAGGAGGAGGAGGAGGAGGAGGAGGAGGAGGAGGAGGAGGAGGACCAACGCAAACCCAAGACGCATCAATGACGTTGCAAGAAACCATGATTTCACTTTCCCTCTTCACCAGTCCCTCAAGATAGCTGATTGCCATTGCGGGGAAGTGGCCGATCAGACGATCACCGTCTCAGAAGTGCCAATCGTGCCAAAACGCAATGCTTGGGACTTCAACGCCACAGATCAACATTACCGCGGCGCCCTGACAATCCTAAATCGTAACAGGATTCACTCCTGGCACTTAAATGCCGCTAGTCAGAATTACTGCTACGTCCTGACAACCCTAAACAATGCCAATAAACAATTCCAGGGACATCGGCCATACAACCCCCTGAACCTGCTGCAAACTTACAAGATGAATGTGCGCGGCGGTGAAGCGAGAACCACGTTTTGAACACCACCTGCCCGCAATCCGTGCCCGCCCGCAACCCGTGAAACGGTTGCAAGCGTTTTGAACGAATGTGCGCGGCGCTGAAGCGAGAACCAATCAACACAAGAACCGCCCTCCATCCGTGAAGCTGCTGCAGACGCTTGAGACGAATGCGCGCGGCACTAAGGCGACAACCACACTTTGAAAACCACACGCCCTCCGTCCGTGAAGCTGTTGCAAGCGCTTGGGCCGACTGTGCGCGGTGATCCTGCGATAACCACACGTTGACAACCACCCGCCCTCCACTCGTGAAACTGTTCCAGCAATCCAGCTTCAGGGTCATAGATGGCACAGAAACCCCAGACGAAACGCACTGTCCGCCCTCCCGACACGTCTGCGGGTGCGGCGGGGAGCAGCTACGGGTAAGTGACAAGGGGTAGAGGAATAGAGGAAGAAGAGGAAGAGGAGGAGGAAGAAGGGGAGGCGGGGGGAGTTAAAGAAAGAGGTACGATATCATGGGGGAGATGAGGGCGGGAGACCGCGGAGAAATGATACGGGGAGGGTTGAGAAAGGGGGTGAAAAGAGGATAGGGTAAACATGGCAAGGGAAGACAGGGAGAGTAGGTGTGGGGGGGGGGAGAAGGACGATTTTTAGGTTGGGGTGGGCGAGCAGGACAGGGAGACTGCAGAGGGAGAGAAGGGGGAGTAGGAGGCGGTGAGGGCGAGGAAAACGAGGAGGAGGAGGAAGATAAGGAGGAAGGGGGAAGGGAAGATGGGGGGTGGAGAAGGCGCAATAAGTGAGGAGGCGGAAATCAACGATATGGGCAAGGCAGTTTCTGTGTTACTCCTCCTCCTTCTTGTCACCCCTCCAACTCCCTCCACATATCCTTCCCCCCATCTTCATCATCTGATTCCGCTCATTCGTCCCCTCCTCCCTCCTCGTCCTCCTCGCTTCCTTATTGTCCTCCAGCTCCTCCTCGTCATCCTCCTCACTTCCTCCTCCCTCATCCCGTTCCCGCTCCATATCCTGCTCCCCCTCCTCCAGCGTACCCGCGCGCGCGGTAAGACGACGACGACGACGACGACCATCAACGATGACGACGACCATCAACGATGACGACGACGACGACCATCAACGACGACGACGACGACGACGACGACGACGACGACGACGACGACGACGACGACGACGACGACGGCGTCGGCGGCGGCGGCGGCGGCGACGGTGACGGCGGCGGCGAGAAGGCTGGGCACAGCAGGAGGGGCACGGGCGCGAGCCTGGCGACGCGCACGAGGCTGGGGACTTCGGGGAGCTGGATGCCGAGGAACCGCTGCAAGGCGCCGCTGTGCCTCGACGCCACAACATTGCAGTCGTCGCGGCCGCCGCCGCCGCCGCCGCCCTCCTCCTCCCCCTCCTCCTCCTCCTCCTCCTTCTCCTTCCGACTCCTCTCCCTCCTCCTCCTCCTCCTCCTCCTCCTCCTCCTCCTCCTCTTCCTCACACGTTTTCCTCCATTCCCGCAACCTCCTCCACTCCTCCTCCTCCTCTCCTCCTCCCTCCTCCTCCTCCTCCTCCCCCCCAGAGCTTAGAGCTAGTGGCCTGTCAGACGCTGACACATCCTCCTCCTCCTCCTCCTCCTCCTCCTCCTCCTCCTCCTCCTCCTCCTCCTCCTCCTCCTCCTCCTCCTCCTTCTCTTCCTTACTCCTCGTAGCGCCCTGTGCGCGCTGCGAGAGGAGCTAAGGAAGACGGGAAGGAAAGAGGAGGAGAAGGAGGAAGAGGAGGAGGAGGAGGAGGAGGAGGAGGAGGAGGAGGAGAAGGAGGACGGGTAGGAGGAGGCGGAGGAGGAGGGGGAGGACAAGGCGGAGGAGGAAGAGACGCCAGTAGAATATTAGCCCACATCGCCCGAACGCACACCACATCAGACAAAACTGCGCCCCCCCGGGTTCAAAACATTCAGAAACCAGGACACTGAGCCGCTACCGAAGCGGCCCCCCGTGACACAAGCGTTTGAGGCGGGTCGTCTGCGCGCTGAGTCTGGGGGAACTCCGATGGTGTCTCGGCAAGGCTGCTTAAGAGCCAACACCCGACCCGACTCCCCGACATGACACGCACAACGCACACAGAAGGCGAACGCACAGATCTCGGCCATCTGACAGCCGAGACTGTGGAAGAGGTCCCACGAGTCGGGGCACCGCTCCGCAACGCCCACCTACGACGACCCAGGAACCGCCACGGGAAGGGTCCCGCCTCCAGACGGGTCCGCACCCAAGTCGGCCTCAGGAGCCAACTCCTCCGAACCGTCCTGTCCGACGACCAGATCCCCAAGAGACCCCGCCAGGCTCTCGGACTCCAGGCCGTGACCCTGAAACACCCTCATGACCGCCTCCAGCGCCATTCCGGCACGTATCGGAGATTATCAACTGATGATCACTCGGCAAGCGGGAGGAGGAGGAGGAGGAGGAGGAGGAGGAGGAGGAGGAGGAGGAGGAGGAGGAAGAGGAGGGCGTTCGGGCGTTAGGGCCTTAGACTAACGTCTCTCGCATCCAGCGACCCGATTAATTAGTAATCAGGCTCTCCAGACTCACCACCCCTGGGCACCAGGAGCCGAGCCTCTTCTTCGAGACGCCTCTCAGCACGGCAAAACATAACCGCCTCACGGGGGTCACTAAATCCATGCAACTGTGCAACTCGATACATATCAAGAGCCTCGGGGAAAACCAACCCGTACTCTGGGGCAGGGTCGCACTCCCGCTCCAGTCCTCTTGAGAACCACCCAGCCTCCCCTCCCACAACGCTCGGACCTCCACAGACGGCTCAGCACAATCTCCGAGCATCGGGGGAGGGGACACCGTCGAATTGGGATGCAGGCCTCTCCTAAGCCTCGACCTCTGGGTCGCCAGACCTGGGTGCCTGGGGCCGAAACAGGGTCCTGCTAGGCCTTTCCCAAGCCTGTGACTAAACTGCACACTCGCACCACACGAGATGCAAAACAAAACTGGGGCCCCCGAGACCACACCGACAACGGGGGCCTGCACAACGTTGTGCCCAGAGAACTTCCAGGTCTGACAGCTCACCCGCTCCAGCCCCGAGATGTGGGACACCAGGTCGGGAGAAGCAGCCGAGGAGCCAACGGAGGAACCGAGAGCAGCAGAACCAGAGCTAGCCGAGCCCTGACTCCCCATAGGATACAGCTGCGCAAGCACGGCCTCGAAGATGCGCTCCCTCTCGCGCAGCTCCAGCCGCGCGTCATATTCATCAACGAGCTCAGAGGGGACCTGCCCAGACAGGTCGAGCACCACCTCCGCGGTCCCACCCACCCCCACCGAGCCCCAAAGCCCCTTATCATGCCGCCAGCTGTGCAGCCGACCAAGCCACTCCGCTGACGAAGAAGAAGATGATGGAGGGAGGATCGGGGAGGAGGGATGTAGAGGAGGCATGAAGAGGCAGGATGATGATGATGATGATGATGATGATGATGATGATGATGATGATGATGATGATGATGATGATGATGATGATGAGGAGGAGGAGGAGGAGGAGAAGGAGGAGGAGGAGGAGGAGGAGGAGGAGGAGGAGGAGGACGAACGAGGAGGAGGAGGAGAAGGAGGAGGAGGAGGAAAGGAGGAGGCGGAGGAAGAGAGAGGGGGGAGGAGGAGGAGGAGGAGGAGGAGGAGGAGGAGGAGAAGGAGGGGGAGGAGGAGAGGAGGAGGAGGAGGGAGGAGAGAGGAGGAGGAGGAGAGGAGGAGGAGGAGGAGGAGGAGGGAGAGGAAGGAGGAGGAGGAGGAGGAGGAGGAGGAGGAGGAGGAGGAGGAGAGGGAGAAGGAGGAGGAGGAGGAGGAAGAGGAGGTGGAGGATGAGAAGGAGGAGGAGGAGGACGAGGAGGACGAGGACGAGGAAAAGGAGGAGGAGGAGGAAGAGGAGGAGGAGGAGGAGGAGGAGGAGAAGAAGGAGGAGGAGGAGGAGGAGGAGGAGGAAGAAGGGGAGGAGGACGACGACGACGCGCCTCAGCCGCGGATCCGACAGCATCTGCGACAGCTGGGCCTGCAGCGCCTCCGTCTGCCTCTGGCGACGCTGCACGTCGGCCGCCACGGCCCCGCCGATCATGGCGCCGCTCATCCTCGGGGGGTCGACCGCCCTGTGCCCCGGTCGCCTCGCTCCTCGATCATAGTCCTCCTCCCCCACCCACTCTTCATCCGACTTCTCGTTCCACCACCTCCGCCTCCTCCTCCTTCTCCTCCCTTTCCTCCTCCTCCTACCGTTCCCTCCCTTTCCTCCTCCTCCTCCTCCTCCTACCGTTCCCTTCCTCCTTCTCCTCCCTTTCCTCCTCCTCCCTACCTACCCTTCATTTCCCTTCCTTTACGTTCCCCCGCCTTCGGGGGGGTCCGCGCTCGGGCCGCCAGTCCCCCTGGGCCTCCCTCCTCCCGAGCGCGAGGAGGGAAGACCGTACGGAGGGAACCGTAAGAAGGGAGGAGGAGGAAGAGGAGGAGGAGGAAGAGGAGGAGGGCGGAGAAGGGAGGAGGGCGGAGGAGGATGATTATCGGGTCGGGCGAAAGGGGGAGATAGCAAAGGGGGGGTTTGAGAATCAGCTCACGTAGCTGATTTTCCCGGCGCCTCCCGGCGCCGGAGGCGACTATGCATCGAGGAATGGGCCCATCGGTGGGCCCGAAACCAGCTGCGTGCAGCAAATTTCGTAACCCCCCCTTTCCCAATCCCCCCCTTTCGTCCGGCCCGAGATTATGATGAGGAGGAAGATGAAGGTGGAGGGGGAAGAAGGAAGGAGAGGAGGGAGGAAAAGGGCGCAATTATTGTTCGTGCTGGAATCGGCAACATTGCTAGCCGGAACCAGCCAATGTAGAGACAGATTTTTACCATGTGATAGAGCATAAGGCCCCCCGCCATTTGTGTGTTGTCGATCGCCCTCCGCCCATCGACACGCGGCGCACGACCCTGCCCCCCACGGCCTGTGACCAAGCTGTCGTGGCCTTCTCCCGGGAGGAGGAGTTCGACACCTTCGTTTCTAGGGTCATCTAGGGGCGGAGGAGGAGGAGGATCGAGGAGGGAGGGGGGGGGATCCGGGAGGCCAAGGACGAGGAGGAAGACGGGCTGCGGTGCGCCTGGCCGCCTGCATGCGCCGCGCCGTGCCGACCGCCCGCGGCGCGCGCGCGCGGGCAGCGGGGGGTGGGGGCAGCGGTCCGCTGGGAAGGGTCGGAGGGATCATCACGCGTGAGGCGCCAAGTTGCGGCTGGCACGGGCTCTCTCCATCAAGCGTTAGACGTTGAACATCTGGGGGTCATGATCCGTAGTCGTGCTCCACTCCGTCCCCTCCTTTCCCTTACCCATCCTCGGGGGCTCCCGAATTTGACCCCCAAGGAGAAAGACATTATGAGCAGAGAGAACGAGATTGAATATGCACGCCGGAGCTACAGGCCATTGCTTTCGGACACGGAGTTCCTCTGGTGTGCGACCTTGCGGGTGTTGCTGGCTGTGCTGACCTCCCTTCCTCACTCACCACCAGGCTCCAGGACAGGCTCATCTCGCTCCCGAGTGTTTTGGTGCGCCCATGGTGTATCCGTATCAATCACCTGCCTGCCGAGCCATGTGATGATCACAAGCTGTGGTTGCGCAAGGGTATCGCGGCTGCCGTTGCTGCCTCTGTCAAACAAATGGAGAAGGTCGTTCAGCTTCAACCGTTGGAGGTGCTCGACTGGGGGGACCAGTCAGGGGCCGCGCTAATGTTCTTGGGGGGGGTAAGGAACGCCTAATTCACTGCCTGTTTTCTCGACTTGTTCTGGATAGGTTACGACCGTCAGAGCCTTTATTGCCAGTGCCAGTGCCGCAGGAGGAGGATGAGGAGGAGGAGGAGGAGGAGGCAAGCGCACGACGACGACGACGACGCCCTCGCCTACTCCTCAGGCTTGATTAGCCTGAGGTCGCGAAAGGCAGCTCGAGCTGCATCACGCTGGACCTGCAGTGGAGAGGAGACCTTGGGAGGGAGGAGGCGGAGGTGGTGGTATAAGTGAGACGCAAGATAGACCTCCTCAAGAGTAGGGACGGTGCAGGAGGAGGAGGAGGACCAGTGTAAACCAAAGAGTCATCAACGATGTTGGAATTAACCCTCCCTCCAAGCTCCGTCTTCATAGCCCCCTACAACGGTTAATTTCCATCGAAGGAAATGCCTCGTTGGAAGACACCCTTGAAGACCCAGAAGCATGCAAAAACATTGTTCTCGGGATTTCAACGCCAAGAATCAACCTGACTGCGGCATCTTATCTTGACGATCCGGAATCGTGCCAGAACGCCGTCTTTGGGACTTCAACACCGCGAATCAACATAGCTGCTGCACCCGCATAATCCTGAATCCTTCCACAACACCATTTCTGGTGCGTTGATTATGGGAATCCGCGAAACTATTCCAAATGTTATGAACGAGTGTGCGCGGTGCTAAAGGCGAGAACCACATTTTGAAAAGGAACCGCCCTCAACATGTGAAACTCTTGCGACTGTTGAAAACGAATGCGCGCGGCGCTAAGGCGAGAACCACAATTTGACAAACAACCGCCCTCAATCCGTGAAGCTCTTGCAAATGTTTAAAACGAATGTGCGCGGCGCTACTGCGAGAACATCATTTTCAAAACCACCCGCCCTCAACTCGTGAAGCTCTTGCAATTTGTTTAAACGAATTTGCGCGGCGCTATGGCGAGAGCCACATGTTGAAAACTACCAGTCCTCAATCCGCGAAACCCTTGCTAATGTTTAAAACGAATGTGCGCGGCGCTAAGGGGAAGAGAACAGGTTGAAAACCACCCACCCTCCATCTGTGAAGCTGTTGCCACTTTTAAAGCTTCAGATTCATAAACACAAGGACGTCTCAGGCGAAACGCCCGGCCCGACCTAAAAACTGGCCTCGGGGTGCGACAGGGAACATGTATTTATAAGGTAAAAAACTGGAGCAGGAGGAGCAAGATGAGCAGGGGGCGGGAGGAGCAGGATGAACGCGGGGGCGCAGAGGAGGAGCAGGAGGAGCAAGATGAGCAGGGGGCGGGAGGAGCAGGAAGAGCAGGAGGAGCAAGATGAGCAGGGGACGGGAAGAGCAAGGAATGCAGCAGGAGGAGCAAGAAGGGAGGGAGCGAGGGAGGGCGGCAGGAGGAGGAGGCGGAGGAGGGTCCGTAGCCATTTTGGCTCAAGTGCGAAATCGTCCCCTGCGGTTTCGTGCTTGCCCGCTGCTGAGGGGGAGGCTCGAAGGGCCTCTTGCCGCGGCTGAACAGGTCAGCCTTTCTTGGCGGGATCGAGGAGCCACCCAGGCCCGCATTTCCAGCAGCAATCACGTCCAGATTCATTCTGCCTCGGGATAGCCATGGCGCCATGGAAGTGCATCTGTGGCGAGAGCAATCCCACGGGCCAGTTCCATTGTGGCTGATGCAAGCAGCACTGGCGGCAGTCGGACTCATCGCTGCCAGCAGCTCAGGCACGCGCCCGCGCACCCAGCGCGCGCGCGGTCAGCGCCCGTGGCGGGAAGAAGCAGAAAAAAGTCTCGAAGGAGACCGAAAACGCACCAGGGAGAGAGGAGGAGCACCTCATCATTCCTTCATGCGATGGACCGCCATCAGTCAGGATGGCATCCCCACTCGAGGCGCTGCATAGCGACGAGTATCAACCGCTCAAGCCAGGCGCCTCGAAGGACGAGAAGGACGATTACTACAAGAACGTGAAGAGCAAGCCCGCTCTGGCGCAGCAGCAGTACAAACTCCAGTGGGCCATGGGGGAGAACGCGTCCAATATTGCACGGCTCATTGGAGTGTGCCGCAGGATGATGATTGCAAAAAATCCGTGTTCGAGCAGCTTGCTTGGGTAGATTCTTCAAACACCAGGAGTCGCAAAATCATTTAACACACTCAGAAGGGAGCCGACGGAGCTCAGAAAATTGCGGACAAGAGGAATGCCAAGCAGAAGAACTCAAGGGATCACCTCAAGGCCCTGATGAAGAGCAAGGAGGAGTTGCAGACCATGGGCGCTGCGATCGAGGCAGAGGAGAAGAAGGAGACAGACGCCGAGGAGGACATGGACGAAGGCATGGGGGGATGGTTTCGAGCGCGATGGATTTACGCAGGGGGCTTCCTCATCAATGCCAGCCTCTTCTCCAAGACCCTGCACTTCGGCGGGAGCACAAGGGCCGGTTCCAACATCGCAGGGTACGGGCAGGTCGATCGCAAAAGAGGATGTCGACAGAATGATAGAGCAGTCTCAGAAGCCTTTGATCGGGAAGATGGTTGGCATGCAGCCGATGATAAACCAGATGTGCACATTCCTGGTCCAGCACCAGGCAGCCTCAGCCTCCGCTGCCTCAACAGCTGGGGGCCAGACGTCGAGCGGCGAGACGGACGAGCGCGAGGAGCCAGACATGCAGAAGAAAGAAGAAGTCACTGGTTGCCCGACACCGACTGGGCCGCCCAAAGTGGAGACTGCATCGGAGCAAAAAGGATGTACATCAGCGGAGCCAGCGGAGTCGCCGCGCGTGAGTCCAGAGCCTTGCCCGGGCGTTGCTCAAAGGGTCAAAGAATTGCCCAGGCGCAGCGCGCGGCGCGCCTCCAACCCGCGCGAGACCCCGCAGAGAGCAGGCCGCCGTGCGGAGTCTGCCGACGCTGCGCGCTCATCGCCAGCCGTCGCTTCGCCAGTTTTTGGCGCAAGGTCCAAGTCGCCGACGCCAGTCGCAGAAGGAGAGCGAAAGGCGGCCAGGACTGCGCCAGCTGGCCCGAGTGGCCGCGGCAAGACTGGCAAAGGCGGGGCGCTTTTTCAAGCGGTCAAGCATTTTCGAGCAGGAAGAAAACGAAGGAGCCGAGCGGCTCCAACACGCCTGCCGTCTTTCCAGAGGCATGGTAACATGTGCATAGCGCATCTGGCCCAGCATCTGTCTGCAGGGGGATCAGGCATTTAGGAGCTGATTGAGCGTGCAGCAGCCACTCCCATCATCCCACGGCTGGCCGAATGGGTAGACACCAGCTCGCCAGCCGAGGTTGGACAGGCCAACGCTGCTCCAGTTCCAATATCTCTCTTCGAAGCTCTGTGGGGGCGTCCAGGACCAGGCCGAAAGCAAGAGCACCCATGGGGGTGTAGTGGGTT